GACCAGCAGGTTTTATAGAGTGACCTTCAACTGACCAGCAGGTTTTATAGAGTGACCTGTAGTGACCTTCAGCTGACCTACAGGCTTTGAAGAGTGACCTTTAGCTGACCAGCAGGTTTTATAGTGTGACCTGTAGTGACTTTCAGCTGACCTACAGGCCTTGATAATGACCTTTAGCTGACCAGCAGGTTTTATCGGGTGACCTGTAGTGACCTTCAGCTGACCTACAGGCTGTGAACAGTGACCTTTAGCTGACCAGCAGGTTTTATAGAGTGACCTGTAGTGACCTTCAGCTGACCTACAGGCTCTGAACAGTGACCTTTAGCTGACCAGCAGGTTTTATAGAGTGACCTGTGGTGACCTTCAGCTGACCTACAGGCTCTGAAGAGTGACCTTTAGCTGACCAGCAGGTTTTATAGAGTGACCTGTAGTGACCTTCAGCTGACATACAGGCTCTGAAGAGTGACCTTTAGCTGACCAGCATGTTTTATAGAGTGACCTATAGTGACCTTTTGCTGACCAGTAGGTTTTATAGTGTGACCTGTAGTGAACTTTAGCTGATTGGCGGATTTTAAAAAGTGTCCTTTATAGAAACCATTAGTGACGTTTAACTGACCAGAAACATTATAAAATGATTTATTTTTATAAAATTATCATTTAACTCTATATTGCTGATCTGCTAGCTACTTCATATAATGACTCCACGATTGATCTTTATATTCCACAGAGCATGAAGAAAACTCAGAAATAACTGGAAAATTATCTCCCTTAACCAGGAACTATAAGATGGTTATCTCCCTTCGCATGCTCATGGATAAAAGAACTGTTTATTGGATATATCCCAGGAAACAGCGCAACAATGTAAGTTATCCTAACTTATCACAAATTATCCACATCATCCACCAGTATTCACAAGCTATTCACAAACTCGTGCATCTTGATAAAACAGTAAATCTATTTTAATCTTATTCTAGACATTTTTCGACATTTTTAAGAAATTTTCCAACATTTTTAAGAAGACTTTTTTTTTAAACATTTATAAGAGCTTTCCATTAATTTTTTTCAAAACCTTGCATAAAAAATGTCTCAAAACCATTTGTGTTCTCCTGTTTTTTAATCTATAAATGATAAGCGCTGAGACAATGCAATATTTAAAAAAAAAACATTCTCTCAAGCTTTTAACGTTTTAAACGTTTAAAAAATGTAGGTAAAAAATAGTTTAATTAATTAACAACAAAATCACGTAGAGCTCATCACGTCATACATTAATGGCACAATTTAAAAAAAAAACAACCACAAAAGTAATTTAGTACAAAGAGTGTAAACAATATTGATATAAAAACGCCACGTATAGCCCTCGTTCAAATTCTAATCTTTCTTTAATAACTACTAAATTAACAATATAAATAGGTAAACAATTCGAAATTATCTACATAAATATATGTAGAATATTAAATACTCAAATGACTTTACATTGTAAATGTTTTGCATTATTGTTGGTTGTTTTTTATATAAATCTTGTTATGTATGAATCGAGGTAAATAAAAACAAAGAATTTTTTACCTATGTCACAACTGTGGACACTGTACTAACGATACCCTGGTTATCCACTCTCTATGCTATACTTAACTAGTGATATATATATATATATATATATATATATATATATATATATATATATATATATATATATATATATAGACAATGTTTTAGCTTTAAAATCAGTGTAGCGATGTCAGGGGAAGTAACAAAACTATTTTGACAGGCAAATGATTTTATATGTACCGTCCCTTGCACGTAGATTCCGCCGCAGAAAGTTAAAATATTCCCTCAATTTGGCCATACGCGACTGAGACTGTCCCAAGTGTTGGGTTCCAATTGTGCACTCAGTGCATCAAGTGTTATTAGTTATCAAACAATGTGCAATAATTATAATCTAATTAATTAGATTGGTCAATTTGTCTCAACCTTGATGTTCAATTAATTTTTAGCAGATCTGTCAAAGTCTCTGTGTATATATCGGGCGTAAGATTGTCAATCATTTTTAGAAAATTAATTATATAGACATTTTTTTTATATAAAAACTGTTTTTAGAGAAGCTATTTAAATAAAAGCTGTTTATATGAAAGCTGTTTATATACAAGTTGTTTGTATACAAGCTGTATATATCAAAGCTGTTTATATAGAAGCTAATTATATGGAAACTGTATAAATAGAAACAGTTGATAAAGAAAGGTTTTAAAGAAAAAACGTTTAAACAACCACTCTCAGTGTTGTTGTCTTGAAACTTTCCACTAATTACTTTATCATTTTACATGCTAAAAAAGAAATTTATTTTTAAAAATTTAAGCTGAGTGCATTATTAAAATGTAAAATTTAGAGCATCGGCTAAGTATTTATTTTATTTTTTTTTTGGGGGGGGGGGGGGGGGGGGACGAAAAAACTTACTTTTAATGTTTTACTTGTAGATGAATGTCGTAAACGTGAATGTTTTTATTGCAAATGTCGCAAAACTTATAAAATTGTTAACAGTAAGCTGAATCTTCTTCTTCGTTCTTAATTATTAGTGTTGAAGGGGATCGAGATTTATCTGCCAGTGGGTTTGAACTCGAGACTTTGTTCGAATTTATCAACCATGAGCTTTTTGTCGACTCGACCACGCCTCCAACACAATTAAGCGTTACATGTCAACTGGTTATGCGCCATTGAGGCCATTGACTCCGATTTCAGCCTGCTTTTGTTTTTGGATTTGCTCCCATAGCCTTTGTCCAACCAAGAACAAACTACAAGGCAGCAGTTGTTTTAATTTTGGAGTTGTCTCACCTAGAAGAGTGGCTGTCCCCAGCTAACGAGCCTCATCTGCCCGAGGGTTCGAACTCGAGACTTTTCGGTTTAGCAACCATGAGCTTTACCGACTCGACCACGCCGACCCACTAGTAAGCTGAATGTAAATAAAGAATTTTTGACACGGCTCTCCTTGTCAATGGAGATAAAACTAGCTCACGTGGAGCCGATGTCACGAGATGGATTCACGCACACATATACATATACACACACATTGTGAGAGATCTATTCACTGGTGTGGGTGTGGAGTGTGAGGTGATATGTGTCAGCTCTAAGTCTTCGCCCCAGCACTCAAGTGTGTAGCTTCAACACACGCCCTAACTTGGTGCGTTAGGGGATGTCATCCCTACACACAACACTGCAACTCAAGTGTGTAGCTTCAACACACGCCCTAACTTGGTGCGTTCGGGGATGTCATCCCTACACACAACACTGCAACTCAAGTGTGTAGCTTCAACACACGCCCTAACTTGGTGCATTCGGGGATGTCATCCCTACACACAACACTGCAACTCAAGTGTGTAGCTTCAACACACGCCCTAACTTGGTGCGTTCGGGAAGTCATCCCTACACACAACACTGCAACTCAAGTGTGTAGCTTCAACACACGCCCTAACTTGGTGCATTCGGGGATGTCATCCCTACACACAACACTGCAACTCAAGTGTGTAGCTTCAACACACGCCCTAACTTGGTGCATTCGGGGATGTCATCCCTACACACAACACTGCAACTCAAGTGTGTAGCTTCAACACACGCCCTAACTTGGTGCATTCGGGGATGTCATCCCTACACACAACACTGCAACTCAAGTGTGTAGCTTCAACACACGCCCTAACTTGGTGCATTCGGGGATGTCATCCCTACACACAACACTGCAACTCAAGTGTGTAGCTTCAACACACGCCCTAACTTGGTGTGTTCGGTCGTGTCATCCCTACACACAACACTGCAACTCAAGTGTGTAGCTTCAACACACGTCCTAACTTGGTGCGTTCGGGGATGTCATCCCTACACACAACACTGCAACTCAAGTGTGTAGCTTCAACACACGCCCTAACTTGGTGCGTTCGGGGATGTCATCCCTACACACAACACTGCAACTCAAGTGTGTAGCTTCAACACACGCCCTAACTTGGTGCGTTCGGGGATGTCATCCCTACACACAACACTGCAACTCAAGTGTGTAGCTTCAACACACGCCCTAACTTGGTGCGTTCGGGAAGTCATCCCTACACACAACACTGCAACTCAAGTGTGTAGCTTCAACACACGCCCTAACTTGGTGCATTCGGGGATGTCATCCCTACACACAACACTGCAACTCAAGTGTGTAGCTTCAACACACGCCCTAACTTGGTGCATTCGGGGATGTCATCCCTACAAACACAATACTGCAACTCAAGACCCGTGAAAACTAATTAGCAGCCAGCTCTAAAATTGTGCTCATGCTAATTAGCACAAAAAATTTTACCCATGCTGATTTGCACACAAAAACAATACCACTTCGGATTAATAGCAAGCTGATATTCAAAGAAAAATATCCATGCTATAAAAATATCGATACTGCAAAAATTTCGATACAACAAAGAGATAACTGAAACAAGTATTTTTATGACAAAATTTATGTTAATGAGATCTTGTACATCTGCGTTTGCTGAGATAAACTGCTCATATGTTTAACATAAGCCCAGCTCACTTTATAACTCGAGGCACTTATAATTTATGACTAATACTTCTCATGTGAAAAGTTCTTTCAACTGAGTTTTTTTTTCTGTAAAACAAATTGATAAGCACTCATATTTCATAAGAAACAATTTATTTTGTTGATGTTAATGATTAATTACAAGTGAGGTGAGGTTGGGGAGGGGGGGGGATCTCTCAATACCGAATAAATATTTGACCTGGGATGAGCAGTAGGGCGTTGTAATGTGTGAAAGGTTAAAGGTTAGCTACAATAGACAAAGCCCGGGATTACGGGTAGGGTTAGGGTCGTTGATGTAGGTAAAGCTGGAGAAACCTTGATTTATTTCTGGAACTCCTGAGTTTCTGGTCTCCGTGTAACAAAGAGTTGTTCAATCTAGGTATGAAAGCGATATGAGTAGGGGAGGTAATTGGGGCGGGGGGAATAAGGGAGACGATCTGTATGTGATTAATCAGCAAGACGTCAAGCTGGGATGAGGGCTGTGGCGTTGGCTTGACTTTGGTGCTGGGCTAATTGGACGAGACTTGGGAATCTCTGGAACTGTGGGGGTACAAGTGAGTAGACATTCTGGATTCAGAGAACTTGTGGGGAACTGGGAATTGTTTGGGAACAGGGAATTGTTGGGGGAACATGGAACTGTTGGGGGAAAGGGAACTGTTGGGGGAACTAGTGGTGGAACAGGGAACTGGTGGGGGAACAGGGAACTAGTGGAGGATAGAGAACTGGTGGGGGAACAAGGAACTGGTGGGGGAACAGAGAAATGTTAGGGGAACAGGGAACTGTTGGGGGAACAGGAAACTAGAACTTAGGAATGTGGGTACAAGTAAAAGAGATACCCGGTATCCATGATAGGAACAAAAGGAGTACGGGAACTAAAAGGGAAAGGAACAATGAGTCGAAACGTAGATTAAGAGAAGCAGAGATCGCGGTAAAGAGGGGCAGGTCGTGGCAAAATTAGCAGGGCATAGAGTGACTAGTCTCGAGTTCGAATCCGGGTTCAAGTCAGTAGACCGTCCCTGAGTCCACCCAGTTCTCATGGGTACCTGACACACGTTAGGGAAAGGTTAAGGCGGCTGGGCATAGTGCTGACCACACTATCTCTTCATATGCCGAGGTCACAGAAAAAAAGTGAACTCTACTTCACTTGCCCTATAGACCGTCAGGTTTGAAATGGGAGCTTTTAATACAGATATAATACAGACATAATACAGACACAATACAGACATAATACCGACATAATACAGACATAATACATATATAATACAGACTGCCACAACCCCCTCAAACTACATACCATTATTATGTGTTTAATTCGAGAATAACAAGACCATATGTTGCTGTAAATAATGTATGACAAGACTGTATGTTGCTATAATTAATGTATGACAAGGTTGTATGTTGCTGTAAATAATGTATGACAAGACTGTATGTTGCTATAATTAATGTATGACAAGGTTGTATGTTGCTGTAATTAATGTATGACAAGGTTGTATGTTGCTGTAATTAATGTATGACAAGACTGTATGTTGCTATAATTAATGTATGACAAGGTTGTATGTTGCTGTAATTAATGTATGACAAGACTGTATGTTGCTATAATTAATGTATGACAAGGTTGTATGTTGCTATAATTAATGTATGACAAGGTTGTATGTTGCTGTAATTAATGTATGACAAGGTTGTATGTTGCTGTAAATAATGTATGACAAGACTGTATGTTGCTATAATTAATGTATGACAAGGTTGTATGTTGCTGTAATTAATGTATGACAAGACTGTATGTTGCTATAATTAATGTATGACAAGGTTGTATGTTGCTGTAATTAATGTATGACAAGGTTGTATGTTGCTGTAATTAATGTATGACAAGACTGTATCTTGCTATAATTAAAGTATGACAAGGTTGTATGTTGCTATAATTAATGTATGACAAGGTTGTATGTTGCTATAATTAATGTATGACAAGGTTGTATGTTGCTATAATTAATGCATGACAAGGTTGTATGTTGCTATAATTAATGTATGACAAGACTGTATGTTGCTATAATTAATGTATGACAAGACTGTATGTTGCTGTAATTAATGTATGACAAGACTGTATCTTGCTATAATTAATGCATGACAAGGTTGTATGTTGCTATAATTAATGTATAACAAGGTTGTATGTTGCTATAATTAATGCATGACAAGGTTGTATGTTGCTATAATTAATGTATGACAAGGTTGTATGTTGCTATAATTAATGTATGACAAGGTTGTATGTTGCTATAATTAATGCATGACAAGGTTGTATGTTGCTATAATTAATGTATGACAAGGTTGTATGTTGCTATAATTAATGTATGACAAGACTGTATGTTGCTATAATTAATGTATGACAAGACTGTATGTTGCTGTAATTAATGTATGACAAGACTGTATCTTGCTATAATTAATGCATGACAAGGTTGTATGTTGCTATAATTAATGTATGACAAGGTTGTATGTTGCTATAATTAATGCATGACAAGGTTGTATGTTGCTATAATTAATGTATGACAAGGTTGTATGTTGCTATAATTAATGTATGACAAGGTTGTATGTTGCTATAATAATGTATGACAAGACTGTATGTTGCTATAATTAATGTATGACAAGGTTGTATGATGCTATAATTAATGTATGACAAGGTTGTATGTTGCTATAATTAATTTATGACAAGACTGTATGTTTCTATAATTAATGTCTGACAAGAATGTATGCTGCTATAATTAATGTATGACAAGGTTGTATGTTGCTATAATTCATGTATGACAAGACTGTATGTTGCTATAATTAATGTATGACAAGGTTGTATGTTGCTATAATTAATGTATGACAAGGTTGTATGTTGCTATAATTAATTTATGACAAGACTGTATGTTTCTATAATTAATGTATGACAAGAATGTATGTTGCTATAATTAATGAATGACAAGACTGTATGTTGCTGTAACGTCACGTAGTTGAAGTCAACATTTTGTTGTGTGTGTGTGTGTGGACTAATGAGATGTAACCAACGCTAATGACACGGTCACCATACGGTTTTTTAATGAGTGTTCTTGCCTTAACATCTCTACTTACTAAGATAAGTTCAGGCCCTCTATTAAATATTTAACAAAAGCATTTACTGAGCAGTTCGAACTATGACCGTAATAAAATGTAGATCTTTTTGTTCGAATAACTCAAGTAATAAGTTTTATGAAAAAAGTTGAAGAAAGGAATGTTTTCATGAAACATCGGTTGTTGCGATAGTCACACACAAGACATCACCATTGCAATCACATTGCAGCCTCTGCATCCTTACAGCAACCACATTGAAGCTTTAGCATCACCATAGCAACCATATTGAAGCCTCAGCATCACCATTGCAACCTAATTAAAGCCTCAGCATCACCATAGCAACCATATTGAAGCATCAGCATTACCATAGCAACCACATTGAAGCCTTAGAATCACCATAGCAACCATATTGAAGCCTCAGCATCACCATAGCAACCACATTGAAGCTTTAGCAACACCATAGCAACCACATTGAAGCCCCAGAATCACTATTATCGCGGTTGTACACATATTTACTTTGGTTGCTATGTTTGTCTGTGGGTGGGTAATTGGGTGGGTCGACTTGTGGTGGGCTTGTGGTGGGCTTGTGGTCGGCTTGCGGTCGGCTTGTGGTCGGCTTGTGGTCGGCTTGTGGTGGGCTTGTGGTCGGCTTGTGGTCGGCTTGTGGTCGGCTTGTGGTCGGCTTGTGGTCGGCTTGTAAATTAATTTTGACCTTTTTCTAAAGTATGGATTACATGCATGCTTTCCAATGACAATGCATGAATATCTCGGGTGTAACTTATTTAGATATTACACAAATAATTAAACTTATTTCAAGGGGAGATAAAGTATCACCTATCACAGATATTTTCAAATCTAAGAACATACCATGGGCTGAATCAAAGGGCAGATAATTGTTACCATTGAAATAAAGGAAACACTTTTTGTTGTGTGAGAAGTCGACGTATTTAACAACAAACGGAATAGGAATAACAAACACGCTGCTCATTACTTTTTCAAGGCAAATATTGACATACCATGACATCTTTCCAATATCTAAAAATTCAAACATATAGAGCTTGTTAATTTAAATATAAATAGGTTCTAATGATTGCTTTTCCTGTTTATACAAACCCCATTTCTCACAGTGTACCTAGTCTTAACGCGCATTGTCATAAAAGTATCTTTTGGCAATAAAATTTAATTTTCACTTTATTACATATTAAATGTATTGTTTAAAAAAAGTTTGTATATATATATATATATATATATATATATATATATATATATATATATATATATATATTGCATCCAAGTGAAATAGATGTAGTCTAGATGTGGTCTGGTTGTGGTTTATACCTGGTCTAGATGTGGTCTATACCTGGTCTAGATGTGGTCTAGATGTGGTCTATACCTGGTCTAGATGTGGTCTATACCTGGTCTAGATGTGGTCTATACCCGGTCTAGATGTGGTCTAGATGTGGTCTATACCTGGTCTAGATGTGGTCTGGTTGTGGTCTATACCTGGTCTAGATGTGGTCTGGTTGTGGTCTATACCTGGTCTAGATGTGGTCTATACCTGGTCTAGATCTGATCTATACCTGGTCTATATGTTGTCTATACCTGGTCTAGAAGTGGTCTATACCTGGTCTAGATGTGGTCTAGATGTGGTCTAGATGTGGTCTAGATGTGGTCTATACCTGGTCTAGATGTGGTCTATACCTGGTCTAGATGTGGTCTAGATGTGGTCTATACCTGGTGTAGATGTGGTCTATACCTGGTCTAGATGTGGTCTATACCTGGTCTAGATGTGGTCTATACCTGGTCTAGATGTGGTCTATACCCGGTCTAGATGTGGTCTAAATGTGGTCTATACCTGGTCTAGATGTGGTCTATACCTGGTCTAGATGTGGTCTATACCTGGTCTAGATGTGGTCTATACCTTGTCTAGATGTGGTCTAGATGTGATCTATACCTGGTCTAGATGTGGTCTAGTGGTCTATACCTGGTGTAGATGTGGTCTATACCTGGTCTAGATGTGGTCTAGATGTGGTCTAGATGTGGTCTAGATGTGGTCTATACCTGGTCTAGATGTGGTCTATACCTGGTCTAGATGTGGTCTAGATGTGGTCTAGATGTGGTCTATACCTGGTCTAGATGTGGTCTATACCTGGTCTAGATGTGGTCTAGATGTGGTCTATACCTGGTCTAGATGTGGTCTATACCTGGTCTAGATTTGGTCTATACCTGGTCTAGATGTGGTCTAGATGTGGTCTATACCTGGTGTAGATGTGGTCTAAACCTGGTCTATATGTTGTCTATACCTGGTCTAGAAGTGGTCTATACCTGGTCTAGATGTGGTCTAGATGTGGTCTAGATGTGGTCTAGATGTGGTCTATACCTGGTCTAGATGTGGTCTATACCTGGTCTAGATGTGGTCTAGATGTGGTCTATACCTGGTGTAGATGTGGTCTATACCTGGTCTAGATGTGGTCTATACCTGGTCTAGATGTGGTCTATACCTGGTCTAGATGTGGTCTATACCTGGTCTAGATGTGGTCTATACCCGGTCTAGATGTGGTCTAAATGTGGTCTATACCTGGTCTAGATGTGGTCTATACCTGGTCTAGATGTGGTCTATACCTGGTCTAGATGTGGTCTATACCTGGTCTAGATGTGGT